TAACTACCATCATTTTCTAACTCTACGCTTTTGTCTCTCTCGGAATAGCTTTTTGACATAAATTCATCCTTTTGATTTTCATTTTGTAGCCGATTGCCTACGGGAAAAATGCTCATAGCTTCAGTAGTAAGAAACAAATAATAAAACTTTGCAAAACTTTTTTACATAATTTTGAAGTGATCTTTATATCCTTATGCTAAAAACAATTTTTCAAATGTTTCTTGTTTAAAAATCCTATTTTGATTTTCATTTAATTGTTTTATTTAGCATATCCATTCAAAATGCCGAGGTAAATATACTTTGTCAACGATTTCATTGATGGCAACAATTATTATGCAAATATATACAAGGGTTGTCCGGTAAAATCGTGCCCAAAGCGTTTTTACTTGCAAAAAATAATGGATATTGAAAGAATTTCAAAAATTAAAACTTTCAGAAAATGATTTTTAAGTCAGATTTAAGTGCATCTCAGATTCATTTGATAAAATGTGTGAAAATTCAAGATTTTATAATGGAAAAAAGCGGTTTTTTTTGAAAAGTAATGGACACATTGAAGATTTTCACGAAATGACTTTTTTAATCAAATTTATGTACATGTTAATATTTTGATAAAATATAGAAAATTAAGTTTTGCTTAATGCTTGAATGTGTACAGGTCACGCACACGAGCATTGTTTCGTAAAAAAAATAAAATGATAAGATTGAGCTAAAATATATCGACTGTTTAAGTTATTTTTTAATCCACTTTCTATTGTGTTGTCTTTTTTAAAATTGCAAAGCATTTGCCTCATGTTTGGCAGTTGTCTGAGCGTTTGAAATGGGTATGTGGTAAACAGAACACACAAAATAGGCGACGTTTGATGACTTTACGGCGCAACGGAGAGCAGTTCTTATGTAGTAATAACGCCCTAACATATTTTAAATAAATACATAAGAAATTTAATAAATAGTAAAAAAAAATCACTAGATATTTTTGATTTAATAAGTGGGATTTTTTTTATTTGAGCAAATTCTATTTGATCAAATATCCAGGTAGAACAAAAAATACGACAAACACACACAGTGTATATATGGAAAATCAGCGAAAAACGCCGTCACTGTAGATTTGTAGTACCAACAGAATATGCATAATTTTGTTGAATGATACTAAGATTAGTTCCATACTTTAATAATCTTTGATTTTTGTCAGTGTGTTTGGGAGATTAGTTCATTGTTTGTTTATGGAGTTAAAAGAAAACGCAAGTATGTGCATTCATGAAGGTAACGTCAACTATTTTGTAGCAATCAGAAACGTGACGCTGTATTAGACACTTTGACGTTATCATCCGTGCGCCGTAAGGCAATACAACACATTACATAAAATCTAATTATTTATTAACTCATGCATATAGCTAAATATATTGATTAAAATGTACTAAGGAGAAGTGAAAGTTTTAGAACACAGTGACGATTATTTTGGAACAACTTGTCCACGATTTCATCGGACAACCTTCGTACGATTCATGTGTCAAAAAGAGAGGTTTGAAATTCTTTCATTTATTATACTGGTCCATGAACCATTCTTATGGTTGCTAAAACTTTATATAGCATTGAATTTAGCGCTATAAATGTTTAAGGTAAAAGTAGAAATTAATTGCATTATTCCAGATCGTTCTTATTATGAGAATACTGTAGACCTCAGGGTCGGAGATTAAGAACAATTGTGAACAACCTCTTTAAATTCAGTAAGATTTTCTTTTTAACATTGCAGCGTCCAATTATTAAGACAGAAAGGAAAAACATTTTTTAAATTTTGTTGCTCAAATCTTTTACAAACAACCAGGATATAGAATTTTGATAGGCTTCAAAAAATGACCTTTGTAAAAGGTCAGTCCCTCGATGTTCCTACTGCAATATCTTTTGGTACTTTTTTCATAATTCAACTTTTCTTAATGACCTTCTTTCGTATTCAGGGCTCCCCATGGATGGGTTTATGAAGTGACCCTGCCATATTTAAATTTCATAGCGCACCAGTTTAAAGGATTAGTACTAGAGTTCTGCCACTTGTTAATCACAAAGATGTATAAATTCCAATATACTTTCAGTTAAACCTCCAAACTTTAAACTGTTTTAAATGCTAACCAATTATCTTAATCTTTTATGGGTCCATATCCTTTTGCTTTAAAGTTCAATAATACTCTACGCCTTGAAAAGGACTTGACGCTCACTTTCAGGTAATTGTAAATGTTTTACTTAAATGATTTAGTTTTAAATGTAGGTAGATTTACTAAAGATGATTACGTCTTTATACTTGCATTGCTGCTGATAGTCACACATTGTACATGAATTGTAATTGTATAACTTGGGTTTTTGAAGGAATAGCAGGTTTGGTTGGGCGAATTCTGTCGGGATAAGATTTTGTTGTGCCATTGTGCCACATTGGAACATGAAATGAAGAGGAACTTTGATATTAAAATATGCGCCCTAGGAAAGTACGGAGTTTATTTTATTTATTTTTTTTTTTGTCTTTTTGGAATTTATTTTTAAAAATTGTGTATGGAAAAGGATTCTACTCTCAAAACCTAGTGCCAGTACTTAGTACCTATTGCATATACATGTAAAATGCTATGCACCATCCTGCAGAATAAAAAAAAATTATTCTGTAATATCTTTCACTTATTTTGTCCACGTCATTGCTGTGCTCAGTGTTTAAGAAAAAACAACAATGATGAAATGTCCTCTGGGAAAGGAAATCAGCTCCCCACTTGATCAAATCCTGTGAAGCCAAAAGGGCTTCTCAGCGAATATGATCACGTACCAATGGAAATTCATTTCCCAGAGAACTTTTTACTATTCAGAAATTACTTCTTCCTATAAGTTCGACAATTTCATTTTGGCGCGCCATCCTACCCACGGGTAATGAGACAAATACAGTCCGAGGAAAACTGCATTTATTACAAGAATTTGCCTCTGTATTGTTATGTTGTGACGCACGGAGTGACCTAAACATTGTTTCCTGAAATTCGTCTTGCTCCAACATTTGAATATTTTCAATGATGTTCAGCAGTCCAGTTCAGGAATAATTATGTAAAAACAAGGATCCCTTCTGAGAGTAATCTTACTAGTTTATGAACTATAATATATTTGATGTGAAAAACAGTGATATCTCCTGTTTCAGTTTAAATGTACACAAGTTCAAAGGAATTTCGGATTATAAAGGTTAGTGCAATTTTAGGCTAACTATAGTATTTAAAACCCGAAGGCACCGGGTGACATAACATCTCCTGACATTTCCTGTCATGTTATATATGGTACATGTGTATATAAAATTTTAACGACGTTCGATCCTGATATTTAAAGTCTTTAACTTTTTTTGCCAAGTATATTTTTTGTTTCTACGTACATAGCTTAATTAAAATTCAAATAAAAAAATGAGGGGGGGGGATATGCTTCTTTTGGCTTTACAGTACAATTAATTTGACCTTTTTGCACTGAAAATGTGTGTCTTAACTAAAAATAAACCTTCGGCATTATCCCTGCAATATTTTTATCCAAAAATAAAGCACGAAACAAAATGAACTCTAAGTCTGTTTAAAAAAAGACACTTTAAAATTGTAACTAAGAAAAATTTTTTTAAACTGCTTCGCATTATCAATTATTTGACCTTTCTGCAAGTCTTAAACCTTTTCTGAATTTAAGCAAATAGTCAAAGATATCTTCAATATTTAGAAAAGAGCATCAAAAGATGTTTATTTTCAGATATTACTAAAAATGTTGTCAATTTTACGTTAAAATTGGCTCAATTATTTCCCGAATTTTCTATATTTACTACATTTTTCACATTTTGTTGATAAAATTCATAAGAAATAGTTTAATAGATATTTGAGAACCAGCATAACACATTTCACGGCAAAGAACAGCTTTGTGTGCAACCATCATGGAATAAAAGGAATCCAAAGTAAACAGTACTGTTATAGTTCGAAAGGGAAAAACTGATCATTTTTGTCGAAAAAACCTTCCGCCACAAAATATAGTCCTTAGTTTAATTCTACTTGAAAAGAACTTAATCGCGTTTTTTTATTGAATATAGTTCAATTTGTATTGAAGAATTCAAATTTAATGTTAGAACTTAAAAATGATGCAGAATCTTATAAATAATGGACATGACCAAAATCCACTCAAAAGCTCAGGATCGAACGTCCTTAAACACTGAATCCAAAGCGATCACCGAACATATTTATTAAACACTATGTACATATGTACGATTAGTATAATTCCGAAATATCCCACGTCCTGTTTCATTGCAGAATGTTTCAGTATGCTAACAATTGTGTTGATAACATTGTTACATATGTCACGAATCGTTCTCCTCAATTAAATTATCTAATTCCTCTAGATATAAATGAACAGATCGCAGATGTTGTTCGGACATTTAAATTTTCGCGGAACTGTCTACGTTTGCCTAGCAACTGTCTCTGTGCATTTCGAACCCAACGTATTTATTATGCAAAATGATGGCACTTGAGGGGACATAACTGTATTATGGAGGGCAATTTAATTTAACTGTTTCCGGTGAAATATAACTATATCCGGTGTGATTTAGCAGTTTTTCCAGGTCAAATGGATAAAAATATTATATTTGTTATAAAATAGGAAAACTTCAAAATTTTATATAAATGTATGTTTCAGTTATTTTACGCTTTTCATCGTTTTAAACTTGGTAGCTCCAAAACCAGAGGAAATATATAATGTAAATAAAATCATCCCGCCGAAATTTTCGGTCGCGCTAAGACCTCTGAATGAAACACAAATAAGTGCATACAGCCTTGAACATATTTGCTCTTCCATAGGTTCATCTAAGAAAATTATTTGCAAATGAAAATATTTAAAACTGGTGACATTAACATTGACAAACAACCTCTGAATATAGTAAATGTAGTAAAATCTTAGTATGTTTCACTGATTTTATGTATTTTATGGCATTGAAAAAGATATTTTAACCATCAAATAAACTGACTTACCATTTTCTAACCCATCCTGATTTTCTTGTAAAGGTTCCATATCTATTACATTATTAGGATCATTATCTAAAACAATGAATTCTATTTATAATATTTATTATGGGCCAAGAATTTTTTGTCATTTCAATTCAGTACTAATAACATAATGAAATAAATTAAATACAAGCCATACTATCTATGTTTATAAAGAAAATACACTCTGCCTTAATTGAGCATAATTTCAAAGGAATATCAAAGCTTCTACAACCATAAAAATGCAGTTTGAAAATGTTAGAAAAACTGACTTGGAAAATAGTAAATCACAACCTAATATATATTCCAAATATTGTAAACAATTATAAAAGAAAATAAAATATACGGAAGAATGATTTCAAATAAGAATATTTAATATAGTTCACGTCATCAAGAAAATACACGTGTGTTGTTTTAAAAGTCATTGTGGTTAAAAGTTTTAAAAACTTTTGTTTTAGAACAATGAAATCACCATTTCATAATGGCTTTCTTACCATTCCAGGAAATGGTATAATGGTTTGTATTAAAAGATTGAAAAAAATATACAAAATAATAAAATAAAGAATCTGTTATTGACGGCAAAGTGTGTAAAATGTTGCTTTCAAACAAAATTGTTGATATCCTTTTATCATCAATTTATTAGTCAGTGCCTTTTCTAGTTCTGGAAATATCCTTGACATTGACAACCTCTGAATATAGTAAATGTACTAAATTCTTAATATGTTTCACTGTTAGAACTTGATTTTATGTATTTTATGGCATTACAAAAGATATTTTAACCGTCAAATAAATTGACTTACCATTTTCTAATCCATCCTGATTTTCTTGTAAAGGTTCCATATCTATTACATTATTAGGATCATTATCTAAAACAATGAATTCTATTTATAATATTTATTATGGGCTAAGAATTTTTTGTCATTTTAATTCATTACTAATAACAAAATTAAATAAATTAAATACAAGCCATACTTTCTTTGTTTATAAAGAAAATACACTCTGCCTTAATTGAGCATAATTTCAAAGAAATATCAAAGCTTCTACAACCATAAAAATGCAGTTTGAAAATGTTAGAAAAACTGACTTGGAAAATAGTAAATCACAACCTAATATATATTCCAAATATTGTAAACAATTATAAAAGAGAATAAAATATACGGAAGAATGATTTCAGATTAGAATATTAAATTTAGTTCATTTCATCAAGAAACACACGTGTGTTGTTTTAAAAGTCATTGTGGTTAAAAGTTTTAAAAACTTTTGTTTTAAAACAATGCAATCACCATTTTATAATGGCCTTCTTACCATTCCAGGAAATGGTATAATGGTTTGTATTAAAAGATTGAAAAAAATATACAAAATAATAAAATAAAAAACCTGTTATTGACGGCAAAGTGTGTAAAATGTTGCTTTCAAACAAAATTGTTGATATCCTTTTATCATCAATTTATTAGTCAGTGCCTTTTCTAATTCTGGAAATATCCTTGACATTGACAACCTCTGAATATAGTAAATGTAGTAAAATCTTAATATCTTTCGCTGTTAGAACATGATTTTATGTATTTTATGGCATTACAAAAGATATTTTAACCATCAAATAATTTGAATTACCATTTTCTAACCCATCCTGATTTTCTTGTAAAGGCTCCATCTCTATTACAATATTAGGATCATTATCTAAAACAATGAATTATATTTATAATATTTATTATGGGCTAAGAATTTTTTGTCATTCAATTCAGTACTAATAACAATATGATATAGATTAAATACAAGCCATACTATCTTTGTTTATAAAGAAAATACACTCTGCATCAATTGAGCATAATTTCAAAGAAATATCAAAGCTTCTACAACCATAAAAATGCAGTTTGAAAATGTTAGAAAAACTGACTTGGAAAATAGTAAATCACAACCTAATACAGTGTATATGGCAAATGTTGTAAACAATTACAAAAGAAAATAAAATATACGGAAAAATGATTTCAAATAAGAATATTTAATATATTGAGTTCACTTCATCAAGACCTTGACATTAGAGATTTTTGTACTTATGAAAAAACTTAAACCTTAGCCATAACTTTTGAACGCTAAGGGCTAGTGATATCACATTTCACATATGTAATCCTTGTGAGAAGACCATACATTAGATACCAATAACATTGATCCTTTGACATTGACCTTGGAGTTTGACCTACTTCATAAAATATTTAACCTAGGCCATAACTTTTGAATGGTTAGGCTGGGGATTCCATGCTTCATATATGTATTTTTTGTGGCAAGACGTTTCATTGGAT